TCTTGCATTTTTATGTGCATAGCCTTGTGAACACTGCTGTTCCCATATAATATTACAGACACCGTTTGTATGTGTTTTTAATGACTTTATAAGGCCCAAGATCAAAATTCGCGAAGAAAAGAGTGGTGACATGTGTCCATGAGGTTTGCCAGTCACCATTTTCTTTTTCTCACAGCCCAAGGCCATCACTCGTAAACGTGGAGGTAATTTTTCTCTTCTTGGTACTTCTCAATTCCTCCACCTTTAGGACGAGCGCGTTCGTATTCCACACGTGTAGTTTTTTTTCGCACCACTCTAGTTCCTGAATTACACTGCTGTGTAATTACTTTTGTGACGTTTCACGTAGTTCCGTTTGCTGAATTTTAAAGTTTAAGCACAATGTTTCGAAGATAACGCCATTGCTGCTTGTCGTAAAGTTGATCGCTTCTTGTATTCAGATTATGATGAACGTCATCAATAGCTGACTTGAAGACATATGCAGATTTATCACATCAAAAATGATTGTTCTGCTTTGATTCACCCAAATGCTCAAAAGAATTCCTTGACGCAAAGCTTGCAATGTCTAACACTGTTGGTAATAGTGAGTAGAGCCCTGCACGGTCTGGTTTTGCCGGTCCAAGCACAGCCCAGTGCTTTTAAATACGGCCTGTATCCGGCCGGGGCCCGAAAGGTTAGGGCCCGGCCTGACTCGGCCCGGCTCGTTTCAACCAATTAAACCTGGAGCATAAACTAGGCACTGTCCTATATTCGGTAACTGTGACAATACTTGCCGCAAACTAGATATTTTCTAGACTGTCTTGAGAACTTTTTTTTAGTGTTACAAGTTTAACTGGTATATTCTGTGTACTTAGAGGTAATTACGCTCGTAATGCCTCCGGAAAATCTATTGCTGCTTAAATAAAATTTAATTGGGCTGTATCATGTGCCCAGTGCGAACGACAAAACCTTGTTGTTTTTAATTTCAGAGAATGACTACAAAATATACTACACCCATGAATTGAAAAAAAAAGAGGCAGATATTTATAGTCTGAGTCCACATAATGGCATGCAAGCCGGGTTTATCGAGTGAATGTAACAAATCTCCTGCAAACGTCATTTATTATGCCATGCAATTAAATAACACTTGAATAACTCTTGAAGGACTACCAGGGGCGGAAACTTTCGATACTTTCATGTATTCACTCTCGGGAGCGGCAGAGCCGCTTTTAACACTGGCGGTTGCCGGGTAGCCTACTAGAAATAACTGATTAGCAGAAAATTCCTTTGATGACGTTACTAGTGAGGTCCCCAAATAGAGAGAGGCAAATGGCGAGAAATTGAGACGAGCAGGGTTGCCACGGAAGCCCTATACATTTCCACTTTGCATGCATGCGCGATGCGCTCGTGCCTTTTTTCAGGTCCACTGGCCCCTTGGTCAATGTGGGCAAAAATTTTGTTAATCTTTTCTTTTCTTCGTGTTTTTTGAAGAGGCGAAAGTTACGCTTACTGATTTGTCAGTGAGACAAAATTCGTTCGCCACAAATAAAGTGAACTTTTTTATTGCACATTCATATAAAAAACAGACACACTTAGTGTGAAAGTGTCGATCTCTAAAAACAGCCTTGATTTACAACTGACGTTGGAACATAATGAGCAAACGTTGAACCCAGAATACCCGAACCAATGAGAAAAGTACGTATCAACAGTCGCGAGTACGACACGTCATACTTGACTCAATTCACGTTTGTTATGACGGTGCGTAGTTTCCTTGCAACTATAGGCAGCTTGCGAAACTGCAGACACCAAGGAAAAGTAACATAAGTGCGTGCAACGTGTATGTATTACATTTTATACAGGAGTAGGGGCTCATGTTTCCAGTTTTGATGCATCTTAATTATCCGTTAATATACAAAAACGGCCGAAATTGGGGGAAGAAGACTGAAGCAATGCAAGGTTCCTGAACTCCGCGTGCCGCAGGAGCCGTCGCACATTTATCCGGTAAAAGATGCCAATGAACCCGTGCCTACACACCCCTGCCCCCTTTTCAAGATGTACTGAAGCAATCGAAATCATTACCATGAACTTAATACAATTAACTTTTAACCAGTCGAAATCGCTGGTCGAGTCGAACAGGCAAACTAAAGTGTTTTCTACAAAAAGTCTATAGCCAGTTTGAAATTTCGTAAAGGCGGCAAGTGGTAATGAGCACTGAGCAAGGAAATATGCCTAATTCTGCTGGCGAAATTGAAACCGATGCACCAAACAGCGCATATACCATTCACTTCGAAAACATCCACAATGAAAAGGTAATTGTTATAAAATGTGTAAGAACTAAATGTTTTAATTTCTGTATTTACTGCCGTAATTATTATTTTTACACATCTGAAAATGCCTTCTGCCAAAGTAGAGGGAGCACCGCACGAAGAAAGCAGATGCCTTCTTTTTGTAGTTTTTCGAAAATATTGGACCCATTTCTTGAAGCGTAGAATGCCGATGCCTTCTTTTTGTAGTTTTTCGAAAATATTGGACCCATTTCTTGAAACACCTTGTATATGAGACCCAGGCCTAAAACCGGCTTGACTGAGGCCCCGTCCCGACACGAGCCTGAAGTTTATGGGCCAGAGCATGGCCCAGGTCCGATCGAACAATACCTTACCCGAAAGCCCAGCCGAGCCCAGGCTTTCGGGATGGCCCGGGCTCATGCAGTGCTCTAATGATAATCGACCAGTAGGGACGTATTGACCACCGACAAGAAGCAGGTCGACTTTGTCTGAGCATGTGGAACGCCTGCCGATGCATTGTAGGATCTGACTGCGTAGTCGCATTTATGGAAAACACACACATTCGATACACCAATTCCTGCGTTACATGGTATCAGGACCGATTCTGTGGATTGTCATTCGAAGCTCCGTACGGCATCAAACACACCGTCATACATAGAATTCATCATTTGTGATCTGCCTATAGACATAAGCGCATCCTTTTAAACGTTGGCAACTTTTGACATTTCATTAACATCTCCCGCTCACATGCTTGCTTTGAAGCAGTGGTGTAACTCAGTGGTAGAATACTGGGCTGCAACCTACATGCTTGATTTGGGCATGAGCCAGAAAGCCCTTTTCCCTTCACGCACCTTGTCTTTAAACTGCATCTATGGATACAATCACTAATTGTTACGAGTCTCCATCAGGGACATCACCAGGCTTCTAATCAATCACTTCAATATCCTTGCGTGGGACGCCCGAGAAGGAAAGTGCACCCAGTAATCTCGTAAGAACATTACCCTGCTGTAGTGATAACTTTTAGTAAGGGATTCGAGAAATCGGAAATTGGGTTTATTATAAAACATAAAAAATGCAAGCGCACACGTGTATTTTCTATCTTTTGGCTGAACTAAAAAAATGATCGTGAATGTATATATCTACCTACTTCACGAATGATGCAACTATTACTTAGTAATTTCTTCCTTCTGTTGCAATCAATGCTTCAATTTTTAGAGAATAAAGTAATTTCTTCGAAAGTAATTCACTTCGAGGTGGCTTTACGCAGTGAAGAAACAGTATCACGATGATTCCCATCTCTACCGGCCGAAGTGCGAGGACAAGAATACGTGCCAATCTTAATTTTGTACTGTGTTATGAAACGATAGTTTATCAGAATTACCCAACACCCTCTCCGCCCTGTCATATCACTGATATTGCAAAGGAGACTGAACTACTTTTTGTGTGTGTGCAACTTTTTTTAAAGATAATAAATCAGGAACTGCGTGCTATGGAATATTCATCCAAAAAGCGCAAAGTAAATGCAGAGCCAACGTAAAGTTAGGAGGGTGCCAGCAAGTTTTAACACACTTTCCTTGTCTTTTTTTTGTCTTACATTGTGATCTTAGATATAAGTAGGGATGCACAGTGCCACCATATTTGCGGATATACTATTCATCCAAATCTAGACATACGCCATAAATGTTGTCTCTTTCTTCCCAGCAGACCATGCGCGGACAACCTGCCGCATTCCTGCTGATCGTGCTCGCGGCCAGTCGGGTCTCCGGGCGGCCTGCTGAGTCGGGAGGTGCGAGCGCCACTAAGAGCGACCACACCACTCGCGAGGAAACCCTAGCACGACTTCTCAGGGAGGAACTAAGCACGCTGGAAGGCTCTCGTTTCCCAATGCCTGGAATCCACCGTGACTCCCTCGCCATCGCGGCTGTAGTCGCGAGTCAAGACGGAGGCCTCAGTGGCTCGCCCACACATATAAACGAGCCAAGCGATGCCAGCGTGGATCTTGTGGCCGTGCCCGAGTCAACCAGTGGTAATCGCGTTTCCAGTCATCAACAGTACGAGGTGGGGCGTTCCCTGGGTTCTAAGGATTTGACGCCATCGGAGGAAGCTATCGTGCAGCAGCGAGCGCCACCGTATCGTGATTCCGACCATTTGGCAGAGAAGCGAGCTCTCCCACCTCATGTCGTCAAAGCTCGTTCATCCTGGCAATGGCTTCACTGAAGGTGAGGTCCCGCTCACGACCCGTGTACAAGCCTTTGTACACATCGAGTGAGCACCTAGAAGCCAGGCCTGCTATTCCGCTGCCGCAGATAGAAGCGTACTTGAGCAGTAAAGCCGCCGAGGCAATCGCTGGTGGTGAGGCCATCTCTAGTGGACGAAGTCACGGAGGACGTTGCTGCAGCTGCAGTTACGCAAGCACAAGAGCTCCAAGGACTGTCAACAGTTCTCCCACCAAGATTCTCTTCAACAAATGCGCCATTTCAAACACCAACCACACCAGCGTTAGTCCCAAAGAGCACCGCTATACCTCTCGTACCTGAACTTGTGCCGGAACCCAATGCCGAAAAGCCTGCGCTCTTGCACGCTGTTGATGAACTCGTGGCCGAAGATACCGTGTTGCATCCCTCGTCGAACGTCCCTCTAGTACACGGCGCATCAACAACCGAAGGTAGTCGTGTTTCGGACGAGGCGGCTGTTACGGAAGTGACGCAAATAACTACAGAGGAGTTGAAAACTGCTGAGATGCCTAAAAAATCAGCAGCTGCTCCAAGTGTCGACGATCATATCGTACCGGCACACAACGATAAGCCCGAAAAATCAGTCACTACAGCAGCTACTCTTTCATTCCCGACGAATCTCTACCTACCAGATGCCCTAGTCTTATCCAACCAGCATAGTAAACCTCAGCACTCGAGGTTCCCTCCAGCGACTCTTCCGAACAGGCGCACGCTATCACCAGCGTTCCAGGACGATCGCAAGACGACTGCTATGGTTTCCACAACCAAGGCACCAGTCCCATTTCCTCCGAGGAGGCGCATGACATTTCAGCCCTTCAGGAAAACAACAACGGCAACGCCGTCACTCGACAAAACGATATCTACAGATCCCGCTGCGTCGGGCCAGAGGTTGTCACCGGTTCCACCACACTATGCTGCTAGTGACGAACTGGACGCCGTTAAAAGAAAGGAACCCGAAGTGCGACCCATTCCGGACACGACTAAAAACCTTTTAATATCAACCGAGCCATCTGTAAACACAGAGCTGAAATTTCCCGAGGTACCACTGGAGCAAGACGATGACCCCAGTGCTGAAGAGACTCACTTTGTCCTCCCCGGTGAAAGTAATGTTGGAAAGAATGAACAGGCAGCTCCCCCCGTGAGTGTAGACACAACATTCAGCAATGGATCAACCAGTTCATCCATAGACGAAGTGAAGAAGGCACCTAGCAGTCTAGATAAGTCAACAAGCAACGTCCCGGCGCCAGCCACCGCCGCTGTAGATGCAAAACCATTTCACGATGGTCTTGATAAGGAGGTCGCACCAGCTGTTGTAGCGGGTGAGACGTCTGTTGGCGACGCAGCTGTCCCGTCCAAGGTGACTCCGACTACTACTGAAGAAGACAGTGCCGTTCCAAAACCAGCACAAGATTTTACCTCCACTTCAGACGAGGGTTCTCTGGGTCTTCCTGGCTCAATCAGTGACCAGCAAAGCGCACTTGAAATCCTTGAACAACTTCATAAAGCTGAAGAAGCACCGGTGGAAGAACCATCTGCTCTCGCTGATCCACCGGCGGATGACGATGGGCAGCCTTCCTTCAACATCGACGATATGATGGTGTCCTTGGCCATGGGTGAAAGTGAAGGCTCGGACTCAGGTAGCGACCAAGCGCCGAGTGCCCCACAAGCGCCTGCTCATCTCACTGACATGGAGGGGAGGATGATCTACTAGAAACACTTATCGGGACACAGTTATCCTTCGGGTAGCGCTTGAACTACCTTGGTGATGCGTGTAGCGTTGTCAGCTTCTCAGTTAGGCTGTTACAGTTGCTTGGGGATGAATAGCATTTTACATACTGAGCAGGTGCTAAAGATTTTCTTCTTTCACTACACAATATTTTTTTTCTCTAAGCCGTAAACTGCTACGGGGTTAGTTTAAACGAGTACATAAATTCGCACCCCTAATTTATCCAGCATAAGCATTCTTCGTCAGTAATCAATATAGAAAGCAATCATTCCCAAGGCCTACCAACTTTTCTGGCCACACAAAGCGTGGTCGCAAGTTCTTTTGATGAACACGAGGCAGTGCTATTTATTGCTCAATGCAGCGTCGAGGATGCGGCAGTTGTTCGTAGTACACTGGGTGATCGTTCTGAGGTTCCTGGGTAACATACTGCATCGTAAGGTTGGGGTCACGTTTTATTCGTGGTTCTGCTGTTTCAAGGGGCTAATATGGTTGGTTTGTGGGTTTTGTTTTCATTGATCGTTGTATAGGCGCAAGTGACAATGTCGATATCACTGTCCCTATCATTGTGAAAGCGCGACCATGATCTCATTCATGTTTTCGGAGGTACTCTGTGGCGTGATTTCTGTGCCTGTTTGGGTAGCGCTTGTGCCCCAATACGCCAGTGTTCTACAAGGAATCATACTTCCCAGTCGTATGGCCGGGAGCCCCTGTCATCAGTCGCTGTATTCGCCTTATTTATAGCTTCATCGGAAGAGTGCTTCCGCACTTCCCATATGGTCAGAATAAAATGCTGATAAACATTACAACATGTTCTTTCTTTCACGCTGCTTGACTTCACGCCGAAAACTATGCGTCAGGAAAACAGCTGATTTAAATACTTCATGTGCTTCGTACGTGTCTTTCATAGTAGCGCTGTAGGTGTTTGTTCGGGTGTTTTTGCTATGAAATTTATTGTCATCGTCATTCAGCAGATTTCCACAAAATAGAAACAATTCCGATGCTTTCTGCAGCAGGATTAACACTAGCAACAAGCACAACGAAAGAGTGCAGAATAAAGAAATTTTCACTAATCCCTCTATTTAGAAATTGGTTTAACACGAAAGTGATTGATATGTAAGATTTAACGTCCCAAAACCACCATATGATTATGAGAGACGCCGTAGTGGAGGGCTCCGGAAATTTCGACCACCTGGGGTTCTTTGACGTGCACCCAAATCTGAGCACACGGGCCTACAACGTTCCTGCCTCCATGGAAAATACAGCTGCCGCAGCCGGGATTCCATCCCGCAACCTGCGGGTCAGCAGCCAAGTACCTTAGCCACTAGACCACCGCAGCGGGGACCACGAAAGTGAATTAAACATGTCTTCACATAGGTAGTTGAGCGCCTATTGTTCATCATATGGCCACGAAAGGATGAATGTTTCAAAAACAAATAGCAATGTCATGCGAAGAACAGCAAGCAGCTCGAAACTTGCGGCGCGCACCTGAAGCAGGAAGCACACACGAAATGACAATGGACAGGACGAGCACGGACAAACAACTGCCACTTTTTGACACTTGAAGCACGCTCCTCAAAAAAGTATGTAGAATGTGAACGCACAAGTATACCCAGGATGACTTCGCAAGCAACTGTCACAATTCTTACTTCTTCGTGTGTGAGCAGTGCGCTCCTTTCGTAAACGCGCCAGCGGTAGCAAGCAAAGTGACCTTTGTGTTGCCTTTAACTACTGTAGCTTCAAAGCAAGCTTTCCGTAAAAGAACAAGAGGTACAAAACGCCCGAACGCCGAGATGAGCGCCCTGCAGAGTGAGCGACCACGCCAAAGAACAATCTGTAAGCACTTTGACCACGCCATGCGGAGGCGCGTGCGCATAGCAATGCGCGGGTTTGCGCGGGACGATGACGTTAAGAGCACGTATGCATTGAAGCGCGCTGCTCGTGCTATCTCGCTACCGATGACGAAAACGCACTGCAGTTATTGAGCTTTGAGGGCGATTAACGCTACATGGTGTGTATCAGGGAAGTTTGGTGTGTATGAATGGCTCGCCCTTAGCAAGCTGAGCAACGAGGCCGCCATATAGTTTAGTATATATATATATATATATATATATATATATATATATATATATATATATATATATATATATATATATATATATGATGTGTGTGTGTGTGTTAGCGTTGCGCACTACTGCGCATGGCGTTGGTGGTTCGACACCTTGCAACGATATTTTTCCTTTTTTTTCTTCGCAATCTGCAATTATGTATTTTATAATGTCATACTCGTGACAGAAATACGTCAGCAGAGCCATGGTGGACCCCGGCATAACGCACTGTCCTGTGAAAAAAAATCCCCCCCCCCCCCGCTGAAATGGATTCTTACCAGTTCGAAAATTTTTTTTTAAAATTCATACATCTCTAAAACTGCCGTATCTTTAGTTATCAGTGTGAAACATGGCATGGTAAGTTCCGTCTGAGCCACCTTTCCCGCCAGCCTGATGGTAAGAGTGAATAAACACACACACACACACACACACACACACACACACACACACACACACACACACACACACACACACACACACACACACACACACACACACACACACACACACACACACGCACGCACGCACGCACGCACATGCAAACGCACACGCACACACACACACCAAGCAGAAAATCTCAGAAAATACAGCAATAATACAAAAACAAATGATGAGTGACACTACGCAGATTTATAATCTTTTGATTAAAACGATGGGCTAAGTCTGTAAGCAAACACTAAGATATATACCCTCGTATGATTCCAGGAGGCTAGATACGTGTTTCTATGTTCTCTCGTGTAAAAAGTTCATACGAGTCTTCACAGATTATACGTATACTTCCAAGGTTACAGTAGTGCTATGACACATACTTATTTGAATGGCTCTACTATGCACACTACACTTCGAATGCCAGTAACTACATGAAATGCAAGCAAATAATACTGTTGTTTGCCTCTCCAACTGGCACTAGCAGCCTATATCGACTACGGAGAGCCTGAAGAATCCGATGGTGCGACAGGCTGTGTAAATGAACACTGACTAGATATTAACAAAAACTAAATGTTGGATGAAATGAAATGTTTCCCCACACCAATTATCGATATCCGATCCCTTGGCTATATTGCAGAGATAATTATCTATCTATCTATCTATCTATCTATCTATCTATCTATCTATCTATCTATCTCTGTCTGTCTGTCTGTCTGTCTGTCTGTCTGTCTGTCTGTCTGTCTGTCTGTCTGTCTGTCTGTCTGTCTGTCTGTCTGTCTGTCTGTCTGTCTGTGGCCATGGCACAGCCCTCATGGCGTCACCATGCTGTTTCCGTAATGCGCTTTTTTCACCAGATGCGATATCATCGCGGTCTTGAGCTGCCCTGGCATGCGGGTGTCTGAACTAAATCAACCAATTTTGCAGACATTTTACATCACATTCTCAGTCCACACCAATTTTCTGGCGCTACCAACTGAAGGTGAGTTCTCGCGTACATATTGACATGTCGCTACACTGCTCTGCGCATTGCCCGAACGTCGACAGCCAACTTTGGATGAGTTACACGAGAATGCTTCACTTTGCGATAACTGAGGAGAAGCGTTACCTTTTCAGTTACTGTGTTTTACAGTGAGACTGACAATGAGAATCAATACTTCTACGTCAAAAACATTCTACCTCATAGAACAACCCAACATGCAAAGCAAAGATAATACCTATTGCTTACTATACAGCACTTCTACCTAGGGTACGTGGAGAACATTTCCGTTTCCTGTTAAACTGGCTTCCAAGCTAGCGCTGCATGGCCAAGTCTGAAGATTACAATACTGGGTCAATCTATGGTGTGCCGGCGAGTAAACACGTGGGGTCAATGTCATGAGCACAGAGCGAGCTACTTTTTTCTCTCTCTCTCTCTCTCTTCTGGTTAATGTTATGAAGCTTGAGAACACGTATCAGAACTATAGGAGAGACAAGACAAATTCAAGCACTCGCATATCGCTGGTTTTACTCCAATATTTGAGAACATATACCGTCTCCGTACTCCTTTTCTTAGCCGCACGCAATCGCGTCTTCCTTCAGAAAGAATCCACAACGTTTCTCAAACCGAGTAATGCGCTTCCTTTCTTATATTTCTTGATCCGGGGTGCCCCACTTCAAGGCGTTCCACTTTCTTTCAAACAGTTCGAACTGAACTCATATTACTCATTTGACGTGGCTTGGCTTGGCTTGCTTCCTCAGGTAGGTTTCCACTTCCGCCGCTTGAGGAAGCCCAATGGCTTGTAGATTGCATGTTTCACGCAATACCATAACACAAACTTCGCCTCTTGTCCTCCGCCGACGCACAAACGTTAGGCACGCACTCGAGGCAGCTTCTGGTGTCAGAAGCGCACGCGCAGATGACCACACTGACTGTGCAACAGCAAACAACTCCTGTTGCTGGAATGCCTCATACGTGACAACAGGTGTTGTGATGGTCTCGTTGGAAAACTGGCAAGGCAGCACGCGTACTACTACTGTTTAGGTTGTACAGCCGCACACGAAACAGTAGACGAGCCGTACGTTATCGCTGCAAGTTTGTGAAAAATAATGATTGATATGTGAGGTTTAACGTCCCAAAACCACCATTTGATCATGAGAGACGCCGTATTGGAGTGCTCCGGAAATTTCGACAACCTGGGGTTTTTAACGTGCACCCAACTCTGAGCACACGGGCCCACAACATTTTCGCCTCCATCGGAAATGCAGCTGCCGCAGCCGGGATTCGAGCCCGCGACCTGCAGTTCAGCAGCCGAGTACCTTAGCCACTAGACCACCATGGCGGGGCAAGTTTGTGAAAAATAGGAATATCGTTTTGGTCTAAAAGTTGTCAGAGAAGAGATCATAGCGACAATAAGAGGCCGCATGCTTTTTGGCCAACCCAAGCACTATAATAAGAATATAACTGAAGTCCAC